TGTGTGTACTTCCTGTATATCTGTGTGTACTTCCTGTATATCTGTGTAACCCGTCTTGAAAATCTAACCGTGGACGTGAATACCGGTTAAAAATCTTCTGCTGTCGAGTGAGGCTCTTTCTGAGTAAGATAAAGCGAGATTTTTCTCCAACATAACCCATTTTCAAAAATGTTGTTTCCTAAAAATGTAATTCCCATGAGGACACAAGTCTGAAACGATAAAAAAACCTTGTGTATTCACAAAGACAGCATCCTGGTTAAATGTAAACAATCTCTTATCTGTGCCTTTCGGCTGAGTGATGATTAAAAACAAAGTTCAGTGTTTCAAACACACCTGTCAGCTTTGAGTTTTAGTCCTTTAAAAGTTAAACTTTTCACCCCCCCAACCCCAAACAGTAAGTTTCCTGCCCACTCACTTCTTGTCAGGCTTGCTGCCCCCTCCCCTGATCGACACCGTCTGGCTGTTCTGGTAGAAACCCCCTCCGCTGCGGTTGATGTTGGGGTGGGTGGGCGACGCCACGGGCTGCTGTCCGGGTCGGATGGGTTTGGCTGATGAACGGGACAAAAACGTGAATATTTGATTAAAATGATTAAAAGTTTGTGAGATTTGGAATAAAACTAAAATTATATTAAATTTTGAATAAAGTTTCTAAACATAATTAGTGGAAATATGTGCCAAGCCGTGTCCTGTTAGTCCAAAAGTATTTGTCAAATAAAAAGTTGCATTTTTTTTTACATTCATGCAACAAATCACAAAGAAAGACAAAACGTGTTCCAGAGTTTCCTTTAAGGAGGATCCTCGGCTCTTGTTTACAAATGTTTCAGACACGGAGCGGAGAAAGACCCAAGCGTGTTTTCCACTAACCGATCTGCGCCGAGTGCCCCCTCCGGGCCATGTTCTTGGCCCTGACGGCCTCCTTGATGCGGTCCACCTCCTGCTGGTAGCGCTTGCGGTCGCGAGCGGCGTTCTCCTTCGCCTCCTTCAGTGCAGACTCCAGGGCCTTGACCCGCTCAGCCGTAGCACGAAGACGCTTTTCCAGTTTAGGAAGCTCGCAGCGAAGGTCTGCATTATCACGAACCAGCTGTGGGGACGTGACGGCGTGTTAAAACGTTTTACACCCCAGAAAGACGAGAGAAACGGACCGAATGAAGCAGAAGCATGGTTGTCCTGCCTGAGCGCAGGGAGCTGACGGCTTTGATAAGATTTGATAAAAAGGCTGAAACTGAGATGATAAAGCTAAAAAATTAAATAAACAAATAAAAATAGTAGCTAAAAGCAAAAAAAAAAAAAGCTTCCTAAAACAAGAGAAGAAAAATGCTAAAAATAACGGCTAAGTAAAAGTGGCACAATATTGGTTAAAAAGTACAAAACAGCAAGCTACAAGCTAAAAGCAGTACAACTGTAGCTTAAAGCTACAAGCTAAAAGTAAACAAATTATAGCTAGTAACTAAAAGTAGCAGAACTGTAACTAATAGTTGCGAGCTAAAAGTAAAAAACAACAGTTAGAAACTAAAAGTAGCAAAACAAAACTAACAGCTAAAAGTAGCAGAACTGTAGCTAAAAGCTAAAAGTAGATTAACTGTAGCAAT